AATCATCAGAAAAAAAACTAGAAAATTCTACGGAAGGAAATTTGCGATGTGTGAAAATTGCCCTTTTTGTAGATTTTCTGAAATTCCGCTCCGTATAATTTTTTAAAAATCTTTGTGTATTTCCTTTTCAAGTGCCAAAAGCAATCACTGAAAAAAATCAGGGGGTCACCGGGTTAGTTTTCGAATTATTTAAGCCACAAGCTAAAAAATGTGTCTGAATAAGCCTATGAAAGCATTGCCATGGAAACTGCTAGTGACGAAATGACACTTGTTTTTGGATAACCAATGATTGTGTAATTCAATCCCGTAAAAGTGTTCAACTGGCCTTAGTCAGTCTTTCTGTTGTATTCTTTCAAAGTTACAAACGATCAAAAAGATGAAAACCGGTAAGAGCCACCTTAAAAAAAGAAAAGACCTTGCTTTCATGCACTGATGGGAGTGAATCTCTAACTAGAAGGAAAGTGTGATAAGGTTGGAATGCTCTCCTAACCTTTGTACCTTCAGTTGTTTAGATTCAAAGAGTTGTAAATATATTCTCAAAGTTATTTTTCTCAGGGATGTAGCTAAAGTTTTTAACAGGTGGGAATCTAGCAATGATAGGCGGGTATTTGGGCTTGGGTATTTGGGTATTTTTATTCATTATTTCACATACATAAAGTACAAATACAAATGTAGGAGGTGGCGTGGCCGAGTGGTTAGGGTGCTGGACTTGTAATCCGGTGTCCCGGGTTCAAGTCCTACACCCTGCCACTCACTGGATTTCTTCTTGGTTGCCCCCTAGTACAACTCCTCGGCTGCGCTCTGTAAATAGCCCACTGGTCTGCCACCTGCCAGTGGGGATTTTTAAGCTCTTAATTAGTCTACATTGTGGCTGAAAACCCCCTAGGGGGGAGCTTCAATTAACGTTTATTATTATTATTAAATAGCACTGGCCATTGAGCCTGCAAAATGGACGATGCAATGCAAATGATGCGATCGTCACACTAAATGGAGTGTTTACAATCCTTTCAGTTCAGGGGAGACAGCAATGAAGGTGTAAACAAACAAAATAAATAAATAAAAATCTTCTGACTACATTTAAAAACATTTTGGAGAAAGAAYTAGTGCTTTACAGCCGGAAAAATAGCGTTCACAGCCGGGTAATTTTCTCAGCTTCTGGCTATTATCTACATCCCTGTTTCTGACTAAACCAAACATTGACTGTGTGACTAATGATAAGTTCTCATTTCTAGGATGACAGTAAAGCAAACAGTACACCAGAAAACTATGTTAATGATGCTCAGCCTTCATGCCCTCTCACGTATTATGACTGTTCCAAATCCTTTTTTGACAGTATTTCTTGCGAGGCAAATGATAGAGACAAAAATAGACGGTAAGGTCTTTCATTTGGTATAACTTTACCCCACCTTCCTTGCAGTGGTATGTGTTTGACTTGTGAATGCTGCATTGGTTTATAGTTGACATTTAACACGTGTTTAATGGAGTGTTAATGAGTGATTTTAGACATTGATTTCTATTCTCAGGGCTCACCCTTCGTGGCAACAAGAACGCAAGGTAAACATGGAGACCTTTGGAGTAACTGGTGGCATGCGACGTGGAGGTCGAGGGAGAGGAAGAGGGAGAGGTCGTGGAGGCTACAGAGGTGGCAGGGGTGGAAATAGGTATCAAGGACGAGATGGCAGTAGTCAAGGAGGACGTGGAGGCTGGCGTGGTGGGCGTGGTGGTTTTAGAGGGGACCGCTTAAGATCCTATACAGATCAACCCATTAATGGCAATGACAAATTTCCAAGAAATCTACCCAATAGACCATCCATGGTAGGAAATTGTTATGGTTTTTGTTTAGGGGGAGAGAGAGAAGCATGATTAATTTTCTATTGTTGTGACAATGTGGTGTGTTTAACAAAGTTAACCTACATTTATACATAGCAGCAGGACATAACCTGATTATAAATTTTGGGGTGCAAACCCTTGGCTGTGAGATCAAGTTGGCATAAAAGGAAGATTCCATGGTAAATTTCAATTGGGTAACAAGGTAGAGATTAGTTCAGTTTGACCAAACATAAAACTTCAATATAGTGGTAGACAGTTGCCTTTTTAGTGTTGATTTCTTGTTACCCACCTGCATGCACCAGTGGAATCAACAGAACAGTTGTCACAAAGAAAACATTTTGTTTGTTTTGTCTCAACCATGGGACAAAGAAAAAAATCTGAGTTACAAATGAGGAATAAAAACAAATACAGAGCTAAAAATTGATCATCTTCTCACAGATGTCTTTTTCATATCTTATTTATTATGCAGCAGTTTAAAACTTTTGCATGCTATCTCGAGTAAGAATAGTATGACAGGGCACACGAGTGTAGCCCGTTAACTATAGAGGAAAAAAAAACCCTCAAGAAATTAAAAAAAAAATAGGTATTTCGGGTATCCAAAGTACCTATTCATTATTATTGTTATAATTTTTTTTTATCATTACATTATCATTATTACTATTATTATTATTTCTATTGCATTTTTTTATTAATATTGCATTTTGAATTGAATTTGCTCAATGTTATTTTTTTTGTACCCTGGGCAAATATGTGGGCTCTGCACAATTTCCCTATTTAACTATTCTCCCTATCTTGACATCTTCTTTTATAGGGCTGTGGAAACAGTGACGCTGTTATGGAAATTTAATTAGTTCTTTTTGTAACATCTTGATTTTTCAGGGAGGAGAAGAGGAAGCAGCTGCTAAAGCATAAGGCGACAGAAAATCAATTGGAAAAAATTGGTTTTTGTCTTTAATTTTCTTGGGGTTTTTTGTTTTTGTTTGTTTGTTTGTTTTTTGAGTAACAGAGTGACTTATTGTGGTGTGACCACAGGCTGTGCTGTTTCTTATGTTGTGGTTAATCTTTAAACTCTTTTGAGAGATTAGGCTTGTAGAAATGTCCAGTTGCCACATGACATGCAATGACAAGAAAATACCATAAATGCATTGCTGTATATGGTTCTTTCGTAATTTTGTACATGCTGTATTTCTAAGACGCACATGTACAATAAATGTCAGAAGATACTACATGCCATTAAAGTTATATGTCCATATTTTACATTTGCCCTTTAAAGTGATCCCACCTCAGTGAACAGAAATTTTTGTTATCACCCTCTTGTTATTAATGCTAATTTCAGGCAAAAAAAAATTCTGGGAATATTGTTTTGTTAGTCTTGGACTAAATATTTATCACAGATGTAATGGTGTATAATTGGCATAATTTTTCTATACAGATACAATTTTAGAGGAAAAAAGGTCCTGAGCAATTCCTGGTTTTTTTGCAATACTTCCATTTGAACTTCATTTGGTAATTTAGGGAATTTTAACGTAGGTAACTGTTTTTGACACATACAATGTAGGAGTCCTTAACAGGTACCCCTTCAACCATTTAAATTGATTTAACGGATTTTTTTTCTTTGGGGCAGAAACTCCAATAAAGTTAGTCTTCCAGCATTTCTAAAAATATTTGAACATACCAAAATAAAAAAAAGATTAAACTGTTTCCAAGTCTGTGTCAAATTATGGCTGTGAGAATGTCTCTTGTTAAAATGGTTACTTGCAATCCTGGTTTTTTTGTCAAGTAGAGTTTCTTTGTTGCACAACCATTACAATATTCCATTCTTATAAACACGGCTTCCTAAGACTAACAGAATGACTATCACAAACAATGGGATACACTTCTTAGGCTGTTTTTCTTGCCCTGATAAAGTTGGACTAGAGATGGTTTCAAATATCAGGACTCTGCTGGGTTATTGATTTGCAACTGCCTCCTGGACTCGTGCCATGTCCAGCTTATGTATCCCAGTAGATTGCACATAAACCAATTTGAGAAATTTAGCCTCTTTCACGTTTTGCCTGACTAAACCAAACTGAGTGTTCTACTTAGATATTATGTTAGTTTGGAAAGCCCTCTCAGTCTCAAACACTACTTGGTGTTGCAAACAGAAGATCCAAACAGACAACCCAACAAATTAACATGCCTGATGAGAAACTTGGCATGCAAGTCAAATGTATTCTTTTATTTCCACTCTCTTCAAATATCCCTCCATAACAACTAACTCCTGTTAAACTCAAGTTGAACAATCCACAAAGATTATGTTGCAACCATTGTTATTTTCTGCCTAAACAGAAAATTGCAAAAGTTTGTTGCTAAAAGACATTACAGCCTCTCGGGTGACAAACTTCTGTTCCCCCAGGCAAAATATCTCAAATACTTAAAAGTAAAATTTCTGCAGATTCCCACGCACTTTGCCTTTATGCAACCAGCAAAATGGAATGTTCTGTATTTAATAAACTATTATTTACAGGTAGTTTAAATATTCAAAATGACCTCTTATCCCAGGCTTGCAAACAGCAAAGCATTTGTATCAATAAGTTCTTTTTAAAGCCCAATGCAAGGGCAAGTAGTGGGAGGGAAAAAGAAAAGTACAACAGAGCATTTGACAGGAAAGAGTGATAGTCAAAACTGAGTTCTGATGAATAAAACAACCTACCAGCAATGCTAGTATAGAATGTTGTTCCCTTAAAGTGTCTTCTTACAACCCCCTTGTGAACAAACAGACCTTGTGTTATGGCTGATGTAAGAGGGTGGCTAAAGGTTTAAATGTAATGCCTCATTAGAGCTAAAATTAATACGTGATGCATGAATTGTTCTGAGCTGTGATCCACCTCTAGAAATAAAAGTGACCTGTGAACTTTTTCTCTCATTTTGTGAAAACTTCCAAGATTTCCCAGAAACCTTGTACACAAGAAGAGACTTGAAAAGTTTTCCCTTCTTTATGTATGACACAAATTTTTCTAAAATTCATGTTAGGATCCCTCCTTTGCTACCTTCCTTGAATGGAAGTCATCAAAACAGTGGCACTTGTAATCCAGATCTTATCAAAATGGGTGTAACACTTTCATAACCATGCCTGCCACATGAATTTGTTTCATTCCCATTATCTTGTAACAAATTGTGTCACATCGCAAACTTGCAACAAAGTCACGTCACACAAGAGGTGGCTGTTGCATAGGTGACTGTCCCACAGGTGTCTGACCCATTGGTGGTTGTTGCCCCATTACTGACTGTCCTGGCTGTTGCTGGGTTGGGTATGGTATGTGCGACAAGCCTTGTTGCTGAGGAGTCTGTCTGTAAGGATTGTATCTCTGTGTTTGCTGCTGCGAGGGATACCCTGGCATCATACCAGTTGATGGCATACCTCCTGAGCTAGGTGGTCCATATCCAGGGTGACTGTGTGACAAGGACTGTTGTTGCTGAGGCATCTATGTGCATCACACAACAATAATGACATTGTTATTCTACTGTGTCTGGAATTTCAGGGAAATTTGATCTCGTAAATAGAATAAGATAGACGTTAACTTTTGAGCTTGGTATAGAAATAGAGAAAGATGCTTTTCTGAGTCCCCATGATGAATTAAGCCTCAGACCTTGGAATTCTGTGTCCAATGCTCTACCACTGATTCACAGAAACTCTGTGGCGAGCAAGGCCCATTATGATTTTTGCACTGTGTCATTTGACTTCAGACAACATTTCAAAGGGGATAATTGTCACATTTAGTTTGACCATTTATTTGAAAGTGGGGACAAACCTACAAATAAGGATAGTACAGAATGAAAAAGAATAAACATAAATTGCAAATGGAAAACTTAAAAAATTGAAGCTATCTTTGCCATCAACAAACAGTTGGGTTACCTGCTGTGGTGCACCTTGTCTGAACTGCATCTGCCTCTGCTGCATCATGTATTGTTGAGACTGTGGTTGATTCTGCGACATCATGTGTTGACCCAGAGGTGGAGGGGCATGAGACTGAATGGGTGGAACCTGTGGAGGCAAATTTCCCATTGGCCCTGACATGGTGGGTGGGGCTACAGGTCGACTCTGTTGGCTTTGAGATGGATTGGGGTAGCCCATGTGACTCTGCGCTGTCATGGGTGGATGCTGAAGCTGGGGAGGGGATGAGGTTGACTGTCCCATTCCGCTAACTGAACTGGCACCATAACTTGCAGTGGTAGGACCACTCATTCCACCCAGTTGTGGGGGCATGTTGGATTTCATTGGGTCATTCATTCCAGAGGGCATTCCAGCATTCAATCCAGCTGAAGTTGGCATCATGTCTGAGGATGTACCAGAGTTTGGCATCATGTCAGGTAGGCCATGCATACCACCCCCAGATGGTGGGGTTGCAGATGCAGGGGGTCTACTGGAACCACTCTGAGACCCAGGGGCCTGTTGACAGAACGTCCATGAGCAAGAGAATTTTATGTTTCAACCAACATGTAGGAGAGACAAATAGCCACAATCAGAATTACTTTCTGAGTTCAACTGCTCTCAATCATTTAAGAGATAAAGATGTAGAAAACTGGCCCTAGTACTTTGGCTAGGACACTTTTAACATGTTTTATACTGAATTGATCTAACACTTTTTTCCATAACCAATGGAGGATTAACCATATAACATCAAGAGATGGTTAGATATTCTAGTCTTCTCGGATACGGACGAATAAATGGAGGTCCCTTCTCCTGCAGCGTTGGGGTAGGAGACGTTAATTTCCCACACATGAGATTACTGTGTGATGGATGTCCTCCCCTGGGGTGGGAAGGGTGGGTGTTTTGGAGGGCCACTGGGGAGAATATTTTTTGGTGTCACCCTCTTAAAATAAAGGTTAAAAATAACATGAAAATGACAGTCAATCAGAGTATTTCTCATTCTTTTTTTCCCAGAGAAAAACCTTTTTAATTAAGTTTTCATCAATCAAGTTCAAATCACAGGACTTTCATGGCTTGGAAAGTACTATTGTCAAATTCGAGGGGTTCCTGACACTTAATTGCACTATGAATTTTTACATTTAACTGAAGGTACAAAAAAATCTTTGAGCCATTTAGCTTGCAAGGCTTTCTTTGGTGTGAAAACTTTAGTGATGAGTAAAAGCCACAACAACTCAAAATTCTAATGATACACAGTAAGGGCTGTTTCACAAATGATTCACTTACTGGGATTGTGTTCTGCATGCTTTGAGTTGAGTCCGCTAATGTTGCCAAGTACACCAGGTTACGATGCAAAATGTGCTGGTATCTGGAAAAAACAAAACAAACAAACAAAAAGATGATCAGACAATTTCAAACATATAGAAGGAAAATAAAATGAGCAACTCCCAAGTTAAATGTGACAGACACAGTGATGAACTGTCAGGAAAGCCTGATGAAAAACTAGTGGGGGTAGGGGTGTGGTAGATTTTTTTAGTCCCTTTATGCTATGAAAACTGGGATAAGCTACCAGCTGGATGAGCTCACTTACGGACTTGATCTTTTTTCACCTAGATGAAAACCCTGTAAAGTAATTCTACTTACTGTGTGCACTCATATGCTTTCCCTTTACTCTGATAATCAACAATAGTCTAAAGAAGGGATAGACAATTTGTAATGATGAATATTAAGGTTCTTGTATAACAGTATCAAATTGACTGCAACAAATTGATATTATACACTTATACCATATTTCATTGAACACCCCATTCCAACTCAAGAATTAAAAGTATCCCTTTAAAATTAGCATTACGTCACTGCTCAAAACATGAGACATTTTTAAGCAGAACCACTTTAGTTTTGCTGCCATTGTAATTTGTTTAAAATTAGACTTTCTATCTAACAGCAATATTTGGAAGGCGGAGATTGTTTTCTTCCCATTTTGTTTAGAAAGATCCCCAAATACTTGCAAAACACCTTTATATGTAACATTATTCTTCCTTGAATGTTTGTCCCAATTTGGATGCATTGAGCAAATGCTGAAAAACTTCTGGGGAGACAACACCATTTTCAAGTTTTCAGGAGCAAGCTATATTTACTTAAGCCCATTCTTTTAACAAAGGCTGGATTTTGTTCACAAACTGAGTCCTTCAAGTTCTTTCACTTTTGAATATTGTATAGAAAAGGCACAAAAGAAGTCATTATAATTATTATATTATTTCGATAACTCTTAGTCTCCAAATAAATCCCCCTTCTTTAAGTCCCTTGCCTGAACTCAGATTCAATCTGTAAGCACCCCAGGCATTTATGCAATAAAATGCAATACCTATAAGAAATGAGCACTTTCCCATAATTGTTACAGGAGCCACTCAGATGTACACTGATTTGCTGGGATGTGAACTGAACTACAACAGTCACATGTATGTAACCTAATTCACCTGAATAATTTGTGAATTCTCATCCAGAAGCTGAAAGACACAAAATATGATGCATGAGATAACGTCATTACATTCAGATTGATAATCACTCACAAAGGGACACTTGAGTAAATTGATATCAATATTTTTTATTCACAGCTGAGTGTTCATGAGATAAGCCTAATAAAAAAATATATCCTTGCTGTAATAATAACCCTTACGCGACTGGAGGCCAAACAATGTGATGTTTTACTAGTACCGTACCATCTAAAAACATCACAAGTTATAGTAAGCGTTTGAAGTTGTTGTTCACTTTTCGCTGATCTACGGTATCGTCACGAGTTTTGTTTATAAATAGAGAGAGATCGAGTCTTATCTCTCAAAACTCCTAAAGAATAAAGACGTCTGTCATTTATTCGGAACGAATTAAACCACTTCGAGCTCTCCAAACTATTCAGCAAATTGCTGAATACATCTAAGTATAAAAGTGAAATTAAAAATGTGTCGTAAGTCAAATTCAAGTTAAAAAAGTCAAAAGCAAGTCTTATGTGAAAAAAAAAAAATTCTAAATATCGATAATTTAACGCACATAAAACGGCGAATTCAACTGACAAAGACTAAAAACCTTTCGGGGAAAACATCTAAGATCAAAGAGAATGTAAAGACAGCTGAAACAACTAATATGTTATCAATAAAAATTAAGATTAAGCCCTGTAGTTTACGTTAATCCTGACTATACTACTACCTACCGATTGAACTGTTTGTTGAGTAGGTTCTGAACGCTGTCGTCCAGACACAAATGTCATCGACATGCTGCAATTCTGTCTTCTTCGGACAAACAGCTAAAAAGGAAAAAACTGTTAGCCACCTTCTCGTAATTTGTAAGACACGTTGTGTAAGCCTAGTTGACTATGTCTATCGTTAGTGTCTGCGTCGTGTATCTATCCATGAAATATCCAGTAGAAAAAAACTGGAAAATTGTTTACAAAACGGAAGCTCTAGTTAGCGTGTAGAAAAAGGGATTTTTTTTGCATGATGATTTTTGCCCCATTTTTTTCCTCATTTGACGTTTTTGGCAGGCAAAGGGATTCTCCCTTTCTGTCCACATAGAATTTCCCCCATTCTCACCCCACTTCCCCAGGAGGAGTCAATGGTAACCTTGAACGCTTGGTACGGCTACCCTTGCAGACTTTCCTGATAGCCGGTGTACCACAACATTAGCCCTAATGGAAGGAAATGGGGAAAGAGACTCCTCACTGACGGATACCGCTGTCCCTGTAAATTTTGGTGGAAGCAGCAATCACAGAGCTCCCTTCTTAACCACCCCTGCCGGCTGGAAGTGACTGACTCCTGCGGGGAAAAACAGTCTGGTCTTTTTGGCCACACGTTTGCTCCAGTTTCGTTTATTTTTTATCGGTTTATGTTGTTGTTTTTTCTGGACCTCAGCAAGTTATTTGGATGCATTGGTTAAGATGTGAAGCTAACTGGCCCTAAAGGATGATATTTCTGTCTGGAAATGACAGTATCCAAGGCTTTCATAAAAATTTATCGTGAAAAATCGCCTGCAATTTACCTCCCTTGACTTTAGGAAAATAGTAACCCGATAATCCAAAATTCCAGGTAATATTATTTACTAAAAAGGGGGAAATCACTGAACTCGTTTTTAAGTCACAGACATAGGAGGTTGAAATTAGAGATTAAGCAAACTCTAGAGTTGCTCTGGCAACAACTTGCATCGGAAAATGCTTTAATGCGTCAGTGATAACTGCACGAGTGCGTCCACAAGTACAAGTTGCTTGGTGTTTATGTTACTGATAATTTATGCTGGAACACGCACTGTGAGTAGTGTTCAGAGAGCGCGCAAACGCCTGTTCGCACAGCGTTGTTTGAAGAAGTCAGGTGTGTTAGAACCAGATTGATTGTCGGCGAAACAGGCAGAAGACTAGGAGACCGATTCCGAGAACACCTTCGCGAGGTGGAGAGGGATGACAAGGACACATCGAAACTAGTCGCTAGAAATTTTAATTTACCTAACCATTCCAAGCAATACATGGCAATATGCG